TAGGGCTTCGGGCGGATGAGGGAAGTGTTACACTCAGACCGCAGGAACATAGGAACAGGGGAACAGGGGAACATGGGAACATGGGAACATGGGAAAAGGGGAACATGGGAACAGGGGAACATGGGAACATTGGAACAGGGGAACAGGGGAACATGGGAGCATGGGAACATGGTAACAGGAGAACAGGGGAACATGGGAACAGGGGAACAGGGGGACATGGGAACAGGGGAACAGGGGAACAGGGGAAGATGGGAACATGGGAACATGGGAACAGGAGAACATGGGAACATGGGAACATGGGAACAGGGGAACATGGGAACATGGGAACATGGGAACAGGAGAACATGGGAACAGGGGAACATGGGAACAGGAGAACATGGGAACAGGGGAACATGGGAACAGGAGAACATGGGAACAGGGGAACATGGGAACAGGGGAACAGGGGAACAGGGGAACATGGGAACAGGGGAACGGGAACAGGAGAACAGGGGAACATGGGAACTGGGAACAGGGAACAGGAGAACATGGGAACAGGGGAACAGGAGATTATGGGAACAGGAGAACATGGGAACAGGGGAACAGGGGAACAGGGGAAAATGGGAACAGGGGAACAGGGGAACAGGAGAACATGGGAACATGGGAACAGGGGAACAGGGGAACAGGGGAACATGGGAACATGGGAACAGGGGAACATGGGAACAGGGGAACAGGAGAACAGGGGAAGAGGGGAACATGGGAACAGGGGAACAGGGGAACATGAGAACAGGGGAAGAGGAGAAAAGGGGATCATGGGAACAGGAGAACAGGGGAACATGGGAACAGGTGAACAGGGGAACATGGGAACATGGGAACAGGGGAACATGGGAACAGGAGAACAGGGGATCATGGGAACAGGGGAACAGGAGAACAGGGGAGCATGGGAACAGGGGAACAGGAGAACAGTAGAACAGGAGAACATGGGAACAGGGGAACAGGGGAACATGGGAACAGGGGAACAGGGGAACAGGAGAACATTGGAACAGGGGAACAGGGGAACAGGGGAACAGGAGAATAGGGGAACATGGGAACAGGGGAACAGGGGAACATGGGAACATGGGAACAGGGGAACAGGAGAACAGGGGATCATGGGAACAGGGAAACAGGAGAACAGGGGAACAGGAGAACATGGGAACAGGGGAACAGGGGAACAGGGGGAACATGGGAACAGGGGAACAGGGGAACAGGGGAACAGGGGAACATGGGAACAGGGGAACAGGAGAACAGGGGAACATGGGAACAGGGGAACATGGGAACAGGGAAACAGGAGAACAGGGGATCATGGGAACAGGGGAACAGGAGAACAGGGGAACAGGGGAACAGGGGAACATGGGAACAGGGGAAGAGGGGAACATGGGAAAAGGGGAACATGGGAACAGGGGAACAGGAGAACAGGGGATCATGGGAACAGGAGAACAGGAGAACAGGGGAACATTGGAACAGGGGAACAGGGAAACAGGAGAACAGGGGATCATGGGAACAGGGGAACAGGAGAACAGGGGAACATGGGAACATGGGAACAGGGGAACAGGAGAACAGGGGAACATGGGAACAGGGGAACAGGGGAACATGGGAACATGGGAACAGGGGAACATGGGAACAGGGAAACAGGAGAACAGGGGAACATGGGAACAGGGGAACATGGGAACAGGGGAACATGGGAACAGGGGAACAGGGGAACAGGAGAACAGGGGAACATGGGAACAGGGGAACATGGGAACAGGGGAACAGGGGAACAGGAGAACAGGGGAACATGGGAACAGGGGAACATGGGAACAGGGGAACATGGGAACAGGGGAACATGGGAACAGGGGAACAGGGGAACAGGAGAACAGGGGAACATGGGAACAGGGGAACATGGGAACAGGGGAACAGGAGAACAGGGGAACATGGGAACAGGGGAACATGGGAACAGGAGAACAGGAGAACAGGGGAACAGGGGAACATGGGAACAGGGGAACAGGAGAACAGGGGAACATGGGAACAGGGGAACAGGGGAACAGGGGAACATGGGAACAGGGGAACAGGGGAACATGGGAACAGGGGAACAGGGGAACATGGGAAAAGGGGAACAGGGGAACAGGAGAACAGGGGAACATGGGAACAGGGGAACAGGGGAACAGGGGAACAGGAGAACAGGGGAACATGGGAACAGGGGAACATGGGAACAGGAGAACAGGGGAACAGGGGAACAGGGGAACATGGGAACAGGGGAACAGGAGAACAGGGGAACATGGGAACAGGGGAACAGGGGAACAGGGGAACATGGGAACAGGGGAACAGGGGAACATGGGAACAGGGGAACAGGGGAACATGGGAACAGGGGAACAGGGGAACAGGAGAACAGGGGAACATGGGAACAGGGGAACAGGGGAACAGGGGAACAGGAGAACAGGGGAACATGGGAAACGGGGGAACAGGAGAACAGGGGAACATGGGAACCTGCTGCAGAAAGAAATGGGCAATTAACCAGCGATTTCCCATGACTGGCTTGAAAGCACAAGTGTTTGTGAGATGCTTGAGCTGAAACTGCTCTGAGCAGCAGAACATCTGTCCCACTGACCTCAACACACGGGTCTCCACTTCTGCTGCTTTCTTTGTTTAGCCCTTAATCCAGTCAAATCCGGCCATGACCGCGTGTTTCTGCACTCTCCACGTACTGGAGTGTCTTGAACACATGTGCTCCTCTGTGCCATCAGGGTTATTGCTGTGGAAGCCCCAGTCAAACACAGCGTCCTGATGCCCAGAGTCGGCGTCTCAGGCTTCACTGCGGGTTCACGGGACAGGGAACGGCTCCTCTGTTGTGTTTGACGTGCAATGCCATCGCCCTGGTCAAGCTCGCTTTACCTCAAAATAACCCTTGTAAAGTGGACAGATGCTTCGTGTGACGTGTTTTTGAAAGGCTGGCTTGAGTCTTCTATTTTTTATTTTTATTAAAGAAACAGAAATTATACTGTACAAAGTCAACATGATTTTTAGGCATTGCTGAACAACAAGAAGTGTTTCTATATGCAGCACAAGTACATGTGTGTGTGTAATTGTGGGCATTTTCTCGTAATCCGGCATGCCGTGTTTATTTCCATGTTGTGTTCACCAGTTTCTTTGCTGACGCTGTTATTTCCCTGTGGTTTAGCGGCGGCTGTGGTCTGTTGGCCAGCGCTTTATGCTAAATGAGAGCTTGTAGACATCGCTGAAGCAAAGCGAGAAAGCAAGACCACGTGTCGGTCGGTACCAGCAGAACGACCCTCAGAGACACTTTTGTATGGTGTAATAAAAGGGAATTGTCGTAGTCTGTAAAGTTATATAGTTGCTTGGCCAATGAAACGTGAGCAAAATAGACAGACTGCATGTTATTTTATTCACATAATTTATGCATATCATCCAGGGTGCGTCTGGTTGACGTATAAACTTGGAGTTTATGGAGGAATGTAAAAGTTTGGTTAGAGTTTTGTGTTAAATTTGAACATTTTTGAAGAGTGTTCCTGCCTGTGCAAAGTGACCAGCAAGATTCAAGAGAGCCCAAGTCTATACGATACGAGTAATAAGCATATAGCACTAATTGTTTGATTATGATGCTCATTTTTTGGCATCACACTGTTAACAGAAGTCTTTAGTTACGTGCAATAATAGGTTGATTTTAGGAACACGGATCAAACGCCTCTCAATATAATGATGTCACATCTGTCTAGATTGTTTTCCATGTTTTCCTTTCATTGTTTTTAAGTCATGTCTTTTATTATTTGTCTTAGTCTTGCTCATATGATGGGAAAAACCAAGCTTTTCTAAACTTTGAATCATCAGTTGAACCAATTACTTTGCAAAATGATTCCCTGTTAAGAAGAACTCAAAATAACAGATGGTGACGCCTAGAAATCTGTACAAACTAAGAAAACATGCATAAAACATCTTTTACAATCAAACCAACTGCAAATGTTTAATTGACAGTGTAATCAATTAAATGCAATTAACACAAATCATAATACCATTAACAATGAAGTGTCTGTATCCTTTAATATATGTGTTCTTTAATTCATTTGAAGAGCTTGTTTTATGGAGCGCTTGGTTAATCAGGCCAATAAGAGACTAACTCTATTTAAAATACAAATGTGTCATTGAAAATGAGATAAATTCTTAAAACATGGGAATAAAAACATGTTCACACAGAGATCATTGGTTCGAAAAAATGATTTAGAGGCTTGTGTGTTTGAAAGCACCCATTTAGTTCATGATTTCATGCCTTGAGATTTTTCGCCAGTTGTTCTCATGCTTTCACTGGTTGATCGTCTTCATGAACGGGTTCTGTTCTCTCATTGGTTCACGTTCAGTGTCCTTTATCTTGTTTTGCAGGTCTTTCTTGTCATTGGCTGTTTTTGTCATGTGCACACACACACACACACACACACACACACACACACACACACACACACACACACACACACACACACACACACACACACACACACACACACACACACACACACACACACACACACACACACACACACACACACACACACACACACACACACACACTCGGGTGTTTCAGCCTCATGTTTGCCATACTTCTGGCTTCTTCCAGGTCATTGTTTATTGTCTAGCTCAAAGTTCAGGTTTATTTTTTTATAATTTATTTTATAAATCAAACTGCACTGCGCCTTCATCTGCAGATACAATGCAATGGACCTTTCCATTATAATGTAGATGTTTAATCTCAGAAGTGATTGTGTCTGAGAAGCGTCTCACTGTGTGCAGTGATCTGATTAGCTAAGTAAGTGTGTAACATCAGAGGTATAATCAAATGAAACACTCATCTTTATGTAATTATGTAAGATAACTGATTCTTAGCCATTTAGAATAATTATAGATTGCAATGTTGCTCTGCATCCAAAACAGACTCTGTTTAATATTCTTTATTTAACAGGGCTCTTGACACTTTATATTGAAGCGTCGGAGCGTTGGTTGGCAATGTCGTGGATTTGGAGGTGTTTCCCAGCACTGGTTCTCCTGATGACCTCGCGAGCGGGAGCGGACGAGGACACCCGAGCCGGTATTACCAGTTTATCATCCCAGTCTCAGAAATGCATTCAGAAGTGTCATTAAAGTCATCCTTAAATCAAAACTGAATTATGATTTTTTTTTGGTGGAGCATTGCAGTGTTTATTATAAATCATGCATGTCATTTTTTTCTTATTATATATCTATTAATAATAAATTATTATATTTCTTTTAGCAGCATTGCATGTATCATTTGCAGAGAATGCAGCACTGCAATAAGCATAGTAAAAAACTCTATCCTGGTGTACAAATAAAGCATTGGTAAAAAGAACTAAAATCCAAGATGTAATTGAAGTTGTAAATATGTAATTGGCAGATTCTGTTAATGTCAATTATGCGTTTTCCATTGTCGCTTTCTTTGAAGTCGTCATTAAAACAGAAGCAGCGCTGGTCTTCTCTCCTCTATTGTGTCGTATATCGAGTGAAGCGCTTCTGGAACAAGAACACATGTGGGCGGGGCTTGATTGTGTCTGTGGGGACCTGATTGGATGGTTGTGGTTTGCTATTGGCTGATCTAATGTGAGTGACAGGTTATAGCCCCGCCCTCGTCATCAGAGAAGAGAAGAGATGCTGCAAGAGGAACTGATTCTCATTCAACATTATTAACACGAAAATTGATCCAGATCATCTTAAGACAAAGCCAACAAAAAATTATGGAATCCAAGTTGATTCGTCAAATTGTTTTTGAATAATGCGCAAATTAATTTTATGTAGCATTTACAAAAATAGACGTAAGGATGTATCTCCGCAATGCTTTATTGTATTTTAGACAAACTTGGTACATGTCATCACATGCATGAGTTAAAGTTACATGAGGCGTTTCGGCGCAGCGCCACCTACTGGTCCGGAGATACAAAAAAATATATTTTTCCTTATAACTTTTGAATGGTTTTCCCAAAAATCATAAAATTGGTCTCGTTAGATTCGGAGTGGCATGCAGAGTCCAATAATATCCAATTTCCATATCAGCCATTTTTGGCGTCTGCCATTTTAAATTTTGTAGTAAAATGCTGTATTTTATGAACGCATTAGCGTATTGTTACGAAACTCGGTATGGTTCATCGGCACGATGCCCTGAAATAGTCTGAGAAGTTTCGACCCAGAGATCCCTGAAACCTTACCAAGTCCAACAATACCAAACATGCTAGGTTTTGATTTAGCGTTTAAACAACTTTCGTCAATATCTTCGAAGCCGTCACTCTGATCGAGACGAAACCACCGTCGGAAAATGTGAAACATAGGTCGTTGCCAACATGCTAGTGGCCAAATGTCAATATTTTAATAGTAAGGGCCAAAAAAAAAAAATACAATCAAAGTCCGGTTTGGGTCATTTTCTTTGTGCTCATATAATTGTCTAGAACTCCGAAATGAAGTCTATAACGAAATGAGATATTTTCACCAAATTTGACACGTTTATGTATGGGGCACTCCGAGGACACACAAAAAAGTGATGGCACTGTGCCTCTTGGTGGCGCTATAATTAAACAAAACATGAAACATTGGCTACAGAACTACAGCACCGCTGGTCTGACATGCAGTGTCTTTGTTGCGATCATAGTCCATTATGACATTGGTGTACTTTGAAAAACATGGCCATCATTTGAATTACAAAATGACAAAAGAGATCTATAACTGCAATGGTTTTGCATATTGCTATATTTCACGAACGCATTGGCATATCGTTACGAAACTCAGTCTGTTTTCTTCGGCACCATGTCCTGAAGGTACTCAAACAAGTTTCAGGGCAGCACCCCCTTGTGGTCACAAATTGTAATGAAATTATAGTATAAGCAATAAATCTCATTACAACTCAATGTATTTATGGGATGTGAACCTTTTTGTTTAAAATTGTTTTTGCTTTATTTACTCATTTTTGCAGCTGGTCTGCTTGCTTCGTCGTTTGCTTTTGCTTTTGCTGTGCCCCAGTAATGTCTGCTTGCAGCTATATCTATGAATTAGAGTTTGTGACTCTTTGTGTGTTGTTTATCTCTATCTCAGTTCTCTTCTTCTTTCTTCAGGCTGCAGCACTGCTGTTAATGACCTGGTCTACATCATGGACGGCTCCTGGAGCGTGGGAGACGAGGACTTCGAAATAGCCAAGCGTTGGTTGGTCAATGTCACCAGTGGCTTCGACGTGAGTTCCCACTACTCTCAGGTCGGTGTCGTTCAGTACAGTGACACGCCCCGGCTGGAGATCCCTCTCGGCCTCCACAAGACCACTCAGGATCTCATTAAAGCCATCGAGGAGATCAGCTATTTAGGGGGAAACACGCAGACGGGCCGCGCCATAAAGTTCTCTGTGGACCACGTCTTTGCGTCTTCGCAGCGGAGTGACGTGAAGAACCGTATTGCCGTGGTGGTGACTGACGGGAAGTCGCAGGACGACGTTATGGACGCTAGCGTGGAGGCGCGAGCGCAAGGGGTTACGGTGTTTGCGGTGGGCGTCGGTTCGGAGATCACCACGTCAGAACTGGTGACCATCGCCAACGCGCCGGAGGGGGATTACGTGCTTTACGCCGAGGACTACACCAACATCGACCGCATCCGGGACGCCATGGCACAGAAGCTGTGCGAGGGTAAGGGGCTGTTCACACGACACCGCCGTCAACTAAACACGTAGCACTTTGTATGCGTTTTGGCCGTTCGTTTACACGATAACGGCGTTTTGGGCGCCTGAAAATGCTAACTTTTGAAAACGGGTTTCAAAGTGCAAGTTTTTAAAAACAGTCTCCGTGTAAACAATCTCTGAAGACGATGACGTCATGCACATGTGTATTACGCGTTCAGTCTGTAGTGTTTCATCGCCATCTACTGGCCTGGCGGCAGAATACAGCGTTTGTAGCCGTTTTCGTGGATCCGTGTGAATGGGGATTGATTTGACGATGGTGTCGTCTGTACGCGGAAAACTCAAAGGAAAAACTTCTCAGTTTTAAGCATATCGCTGTCGTGTAAACGTAGCCTAAGATTCAGGCCTTGTCCACACTAATATGTTTTCGTTTGAAAACGCATCTTTCTCTCCGTTTTGGCCTTCCGCCACACTGAGACGGCGTTTTTAATGATGAAAACGAAGCTTTTTGAAAACACTCTCCAAAGTTGATTCACTTGAAAACACTGTTTTCGCATTGTAGTGTTTGATGTAAGTTTAGTCATGTGACGCATGTTGTTCCAATAGATATTCATGTTTATAGCGGTATGTGCCTGTTATGTGCCGTTCACTTACACACTTTTGCTAATATGTTACTTTGCACACTCTTCATATTACAGATGACAGAACATTTACTCACATTTGCTAAACATTTGCTGAAATGTCGAAAAACTTCGGAAAACACTGGTGTGGATGGATATTTTAGCAGGAGTTTTCAAATATATCCGGATTAATGTAAACGCTAAATTCACCTTTACTGCGCATGCATAAACCCTCACACAAGCTCACTAAGATGATGCAGACAGAACAATAAATAATAAAGTTATCGTGCAATTCTTCTGACAGGATCATTTTATTTAGCTAAATATCTCTTCATCCACTGATCGTCCAGGTCGGTCTCAGTCATTATATGTTTGGTCTAAAACGCTAAAACTGCTCATGTTTCACCGCAGCAAATATGAGTAAATGTTCTGTCATGTTTGCAGGACTGTGATATGAAGAGTGTGTGAAGTAACATATTAGCAACAGTGTGCAAGTGAACGGCACATAACAGGCACATACCGCTATAAACATGAATATCTACTGGTACAACATGCGTCACATGACTAAACTTACGCCATCGTTTTTAAATCCCTCAGGTTTGACGGTCCACACTACAACACGGAAACAGCGTTTACAAGTTAATCTACTTTAGAGAGCGTTTTCATTAATAAACACGCCGTGTGTTCTCAGTGTGGACGGAGGCCAAAACGGAGAGAAAAAGATGTTTTCTAATGAACCCGTATTAGTGTGGACAAGGCCTCACATGCGTGTGAGCAATCCCATAAACATTTAAACTAGTTTTGGCATTAGCAATCCTCTCCTGTTCTTAAAAGAACAGCGGACCACTGAAACACCACAGTCCATTCATGCCCAGTGACATGGAGAGCCACAGACCCGCGGGCCAAACCAGCGGCACAATGCCAGGGAGGAACCGGGAGCGGACGAGGTTGGCACGTGTTCTGGTTTGGATGGAGAGAGTAGTTGTTAATAGTGGCAGGAATCTGCTTTCTCCGACCCGAAGCAATTACAAACATTTTCTGTCCATGTTTTCTGTCAGCTGATGGTTTATTTGCAGCTGTTGCCTTTGGCTTAGTCGGGGTTCAACCTGTTACCGGCAACATCTGAACTTGAATGGCTGTAATTCATAAATGCTTTGGAATACAGATAAAAAATTATAATAAGGATGAATACTAACCAGCACACTGAGATTTAACAGGCTGTAAGACACTTAGAGCCCCCTGTAGTCAATCATTGAATCCCTTAAAACTCATCTTTGATCACCAAAATTACATATTTACATTTTTTTTCCTTGAAAAAAATTCTTCATTGCCTCATTTAGTATGCGCGGTGGTTCTATAAATATGCAAATGAGCCCCGCCTCCACTCACTCACTCAGCTCAGAGATCCACTGGTTGACGATCACACGTTGATCTGATTGGTTACAAGGTCGTTTGTGACGTCAGAAACACCAGCGATTTCAAACCGTGTTTTTGAGACTGTCTTTGGTTCACTGCAGTTTTAAGGAGGAAATACTCAGCAATGCTGTCGACTTATGAACTTACACATGGTGTGTCTTAAAGCGTATTAAAAACACATATAAACAACATTAAAAGCTGGAGTTTCACCACAGGGGCTTTAATATTCAGTAACTTCACTGATGTGACTGCACTGAAACGTTCAGATGAGAAAACTCCAGCTGGATAACGACAATAGCAGAACTGAACTCGTTTCATTACTGATGAACTTTACACTTATTGAACTGAATTGAATCAGCAATGAAGTCTGCTTTACAGCTGAATTCGACTCAAGTTTGCATCACTGATTCTGTTATTCTGTGACATTTCTTGTACTATAGTGCACCAGTGTCTCATAATTATCCTATGAGATATTTCGCATTTCACAGAAAATTTCATTTAACATTTTTAAATGTTACTACAGAATATTCAGAATTATATATAAGCAGAATGGAGCGTTCTCTTAAAGGGACAGTTCATCCACTTACTCCGCCTCAAGTTGGTCCAAACCTGTACGAGTTTCTTTCTTCTGTTGAACACAAAAAAAGATATTTAACTGATTGTTGGTTATCGAACAGATACGGTAGCGATTGACTTACTGTGAATACTGTGGAAGTCAATGGGTGTCTGGTTATCCATATTCTTTAAAAAAAATATTTTTGGGTGAACTATCCCTTTAAAATGAGCATATTCAAGAAAAAAAGGTTTTAAAGATAATAAATAAAACTGGACATTCAGAAATAACACTTTCATAACCTACGGGAACATTATCAGAACATACTTGGAACATGTTTTGTCCGCTGGGTTTGAAATATGATTTCCTCCATTCCTGGGAATCAGCTGGATTGTACATTATCATATTTAGTGCAATCATATTACATATTGATTGAATGAAAATTGAGACAGGATTAAAAATAAAATGTATGTGCTGGTTTGAAAGCGTGTGATCAGATGTGTGTGTGATGGGTCGCTGTGCAGAATCTGTGTGTCCCACTCGAATCCCTGTGGCGTCCCGGGATGAGAAGGGCTTCGAGCTGATGCTGGGCATGAAGATCCACCAGAAGGCCCAGAAGATCCCGGGCTCGTTGCTGTCGGAGGACGCGTATCTGCTGGACACGAGCACCGACATCACGGAGAACACAAGGTCGGGTTTATGATGGTTAATGACGACCGCCATCAGTGTGGGAAAGATACTCTTATAATGCATTACAGTATCGCGTCACTGCCTAAAGAGTGCCGTGTTACGTTACTTAGTTACTTCTGATGGAAAGTAATTTTACGAGATCTTTTTTGAAAGAGTTTATTGTAGTAATGCATATAATACTTTCATTTTCTTTTAAAAACACATTTAGAATATGATTATTTTCATCTCTGTCTATACGCTATGGAGAAGAGTTTTAGTTCAGTAGTTTATAGAATGTTTTAGCAAATTAATTCAACTGACAAGTGACATGCATTACTTTAAAAAAAAAGTAACTCAAATATTAACGTGTACATTTGTAATAATAACTTTATTATTCTATACCGCCTTTAAATTAGCTTCTCAAAGTGCTTTACTCGGTAAAATACAAGGAAAAGACAACAACAGTTCAGTGATGTATTAAAACAGTGTTACTTGTTACATCTGATTACGTAATGCATGTTAACAGTGATCACAATGATTTAAATGTGTTATTATGTAATAATTGTAATAATTGATTGCAGAATCACCAATTATTACATATTAAACACGTTTAAATCATTGTGATCACTGTTAACATTATTAATCAGATGTATCGAATATCACTGCTCACAATGATTTAAACGTGTTTAATATGTAATAATTGGTGATTCTGAAATATTTTCATCCCTTTTTGGAGCTCCTGAAAATGTTTTATTTTTTAGTTGATGTTTTTTATTGTGCACATCTAAATGTGTGTGTTGTATTATATATTCCTCTGAGTGAAAGATGTCTGTGACCTGTGTTAAAGGGAGATTTTCCCCGAAGGCCTGCCGCCCTCATATGTGTTCGTGTCGACGCTGAGGCTGCGAGGGCCTTCCGTCACGGAGAGGTTTGACCTGTGGAGGATCGTGTCTAAAGACGGACAGATTCAGGCCGCGGTGTCGCTGAACGGCCGGGACCAGTCCCTCGTCTTCACCACCACTGACACCGTTAATGAGGAACAGGCCGCCACGTTTGATGCTCAAGGCATCGAGGTGAGCCTTCCAGCAGACACGCTCACATTACACGAAGCAAACTGTTAATGCTGTTTGGAATTACTTTTGTGCCAATAATAACAATGAATGTAACCTTTCAAGAAACGAATGAAAATATAAATTGAAAATAAAAATGAAACAGAAAGCCACGCTTACAGACTCTCACGTCCACACTATAAACACAACACTGACGTCTTCACTTCCAGGTCAAGAAGCTGTCAATCAAAAACTCAGTGGCCAATGAGAACACACCGCTGCTAGCCCCGCCCCCACGAGAGATATGTGCCAGAACGGCGAACGAAAGAGGAGAAAACAGTTAAAACATGCAGTGTATTAAAAACTTTTTTCAGTTTCAAAGATATTTTATTCAGTTTCTTGAAAAGTTACATTCATTATTATTGGCACAAAAGTAACTCCATATTTTTGTGTAGCTGCATAAGAAAGTTAGTGAATGAATCACCCGTACACTATAGCAGATCTAAAGTCGTGATGAAAGGGAAGCAGCGCTGGTCTTCTCTCCTCTATTGTGTCGTATATCGAGTGAAACGCTTCAGGAACAAGAACACATGTGGGCGGGGCTTGATTGTGTCTGTGGGGAACTGATTGGATGGTTGTGGATGGCTATTGGCTGATCTCCTGTGAGTGACAGGTTATAGCCCCGCCCTCGTCATCAGAGAAGAGAAGAGATGCTGCAAGAGGAACTGATTCTCATTCAACATTATTAACACTATAATGATGATGTGCACCGATTGTTTACAATAAATCCTACAATAGTCCATTAAAAAATAAGAATTTCATGGTGACTTTAAACAGAGGTTGCACCACACACTCGTTTAGGCGGAAGAATAATGTATAAATAAACTGCTTTACGACATGATTGACTGACTATATTTTTGAACTGCAATTTCCTGTTCATATTCCCATGACGCTTTTCCCACTAAAGCTGCGCACTTACACACTTCAACAACACAAATGTTCTCTGAGTTCCTGCAATCATCATCTTGTTCCACGTCTTCTTCTGCTCTTAATGTCAAAACCGAATAGTTTTCCAAGATGTTTTTGCATAATCGAGCTTTCCTCCATCACAGCCTCATTCATGCAGGAAAGCTTGTTTTGGAAAATTGTCCGACTCTTGTCTGACACTCGTGTCAAATGAAGAAGCAGATCTATGTGCACGCCTTCAGTCTTTATTAACCTGTTCAGTGCTTCACCACACACACACACACACACACACGCACGCACGCACACACACTCACGCACGCGCGCGCACGCACGCACGCACGCACGCACGCACGCACGCACGCACGCACGCACGCACACACACACACACACACACACACACACACACACACACACACACACACACACAAACCCGCTGTGAACCTCTTGCAGGCTCTCTTCGATGGACGCTGGCACCAGCTGAAGGTTCTGGTCAGACCCAGACATGTGACGTGTTTCCTGGACGACCGGCAGATCCAGGACAGATCTCTGGAGCCGTCGGAGCCGATCTTCATCAGCGGGAAGACTCAGATCTCCAAGCGCTCTGGCTCGGATGCCACGCTCCCTGTAAGTGTAGGACAGTACACACTGCAGTAGAGGAGAGCGGGCACACACTGGGGAGAGCGGGCACACACTGGGGAGAGCGGGCACACACTGCAGTAGAGCGGGCACACACTGCAGTAGAGGAGAGCGGGCACACACTGGGGAGAGCGGGCACACACTGGGGAGAGCGGGCACACACTGCAGTAGAGGAGAGCGGGCACACACTGCAGTAGAGGAGAGCGGGCACACACTGGGGAGAGCGGGCACAGACTGCAGTAGAGGAGAGCGGGCACACACTGCAGTAGAGGAGAGCGGGCACACACTGGGGAGAGCGGGCACACACTGCAGTAGAGGAGAGCGGGCACACACTGCAGTAGAGGAGAGCGGGCACACACTGGGGAGAGCGGGCACACACTGCAGTAGAGCGGGCACACACTGCAGTAGAGGAGAGCGGGCACACACTGCAGTAGAGGAGAGCGGGCACACACTGGGGAGAGCGGGCACACACTGCAGTAGAGGAGAGCGGGCACACACTGGGGAGAGCGGGCACACACTGCAGTAGAGGAGAGCGGGCACACACTGGGGAGAGCGGGCACACACTGCAGTAGAGGAGAGCGGGCACACACTGGGGAGAGCGGGCACACACTGGGGAGAGGAGAGTGGGCACACACTGGGGAGAGCGGGCACACACTAGGGAGAACGGGCACACACTGCAGTAGAGGAGAGCGGGCACACACTGGGGAGAGCGGGCACACACTGGGGAGAGCGGGCACACACTGGGGAGAGCGGGCACACACTGCAGTAGAGGAGAGCGGGCGCACACTGGGGAGAGCGGGCACACACTGGGGAGAGCGGGTACACACTGGGGAGAGAAGAGTGGGCACACACTGGGGAGAGCGGGCGCACACTGGGGAGAGCGGGCACACACTGGGGAGAGCGGGCACACACTGGGGAGAGCGGGTACACACTGGGGAGAGGAGAGTGGGCACACACTGGGGAGAGCGGGCGCACACTGGGGAGAGCGGGCACACACTGGGGAGAGCGGGCACACACTGCAGTAGAGTAGAGCGGGCACACACTGGGGAGAGCGGGCACACACTGGGGAGAGCAGGCACACACTGCAGTAGAGGAGAGCGGGCACACACTGGGGAGAGCAGGCACACACTGCAGTAGAGGAGAGCGGGCACACACTGGGGAGAGCGGGCACACACTGCAGTAGAGGAGAGCGGGCACATACTGAGGAGAGCGGGCACACACTGGGGAGAGCGGGCACACACTGAAGTAGAGGAGAGCGGGCGCACACTGGGGAGAGCGGGCACACACTGGAGAGAGCGGGCGCACACTGGGGAGAGCGGGCGCACACTGGGGAGAGCGGGCACACTCTGGGGAGAGCGGGCACACACTGGGGAGAGCGGGCGCACACTGGGGAGAGCGGGCACACACTGCAGTAGAGGAGAGCGGGCACACACTGGGGAGAGCGGGCACACACTGCAGTAGAGGAGAGCGGGCACACACTGGGGAGAGCGGGAACAAACTGCAGTAGAGGAGAGCGGGCACACACTGGGGAGAGCGGGCACACACTGCAGTAGAGCGGGCACACACTGCAGTAGAGGAGAGCGGGCACACACTGCAGTAGAGGAGAGCGGGCACACACTGCAGTAGAGGAGAGCGGGCACACACTGGGGAGAGCGGGCACACACTGCAGTAGAGGAGAGCGGGCACACACTGGGGAGAGCGGGCACACACTGCAGTAGAGGAGAGCGGGCACACACTGGGGAGAGCGGGCACACACTGCAGTAGAGCGGGCACACACTGCAGTAGAGGAGAGCGGGCACACACTGCAGTAGAGGAGAGCGGGCACACACTGGGGAGAGCGGGCACACACTGGGGAGAGCGGGCACACACTGGGGAGAGGAGAGTGGGCACACACTGGGGAGAGCAGGCACACACTAGGGAGAGCGGGCACACACTGCAGTAGAGGAGAGCGGGCACACACTGGGGAGAGCGGGCACACACTGGGGAGAGCGGGCACACACTGGGGAGAGCGGGCACACACTGCAGTAGAGGAGAGCGGGCACACACTGGGGAGAGCGGGCACACACTGCAGTAGAGGAGAGCGGGCGCACACTGGGGAGAGCGGGCACACACTGGGGAGAGCGGGTACACACTGGGGAGAGGAGAGTGGGCACACACTGGGGAGAGCGGGCGCACACTGGGGAGAGCGGGCACACACTGGGGAGAGCGGGCACACACTGGGGAGAGCGGGTACACACTGGGGAGAGGAGAGTGGGCACACACTGGGGAGAGCGGGCGCACACTGGGGAGAGCGGGCACACACTGGGGAGAGCGGGCACACACTGCAGTAGAGTAGAGCGGGCACACACTGGGGAGAGCGGGCACACACTGGGGAGAGCGGGCAAACACTGGGGAGAGCAGGCACACACTGCAGTAGAGGAGAGCGGGCACACACTGGGGAGAGCAGGCACACACTGCAGTAGAGGAGAGCGGGCACACAATGGGGAGAGCGGGCACACACTGCAGTAGAGGAGAGCGGGCACATACTGAGGAGAGCGGGCACACACTGGGGAGAGCGGGCACACACTGAAGTAGAGGAGAGCGGGCGCACACTGGGGAGAGCGGGCACACACTGGAGAGAGCGGGCGCACACTGGGGAGAGCGGGCGCACACTGGGGAGAGCGGGCACACTCTGGGGAGAGCGGGCACACACTGGGGAGAGCGGAGAGCGGGCACACACTGGGGAGAGCGGGCGCACACTGGGGAGAGCGGGCACACACTGGGGAGAGCGGGCACACACTGCAGTAGAGGAGAGCGGGTGCACACTGGGGAGAGCGGGCACACACTGCAGTTGAGGAGAGCGGGCACATACTGAGGAGAGCGGGCACACACTGAGGAGAGCGGGCACACACTGGGGAGAGCGGGCACACACTGCAGTAGAGGAGAGCGGGCGCACACTGGGGAGAGCGGGCACACACTGCAGTAGAGGAGAGCGGGCGCACACTGGGGAGAGCGGGCACACACTGGGGAGAGCGGGCACACACTGCAGTAGAGGAGAGCGGGCACACACTGGGGAGAGCAGGCACACACTGGGGAGAGCGGGCATACACTGGGGAGAGCGGGCACACACTGGGGAGAGCGGGCACACACTGCAGTAGAGGAGAGCGGGCGCACACTGGGGAGAGCGGGCACACACTGCAGTAGAGGAGAGCGGGCGCACACTGGGGAGAGCGGGCACACACTGGGGAGAGCGGGCACACACTGCAGTAGAGGAGAGCGGGCGCACACTGGGGAGAGCGGGCACACACTGGGGAGAGCGGGCACATACTGGGGAGAGCGGGCACACACTGGGGAGAGCGGGCACACACTGCAGTAGAGGAGAGCGGGCACACACTGGGGAGAGCGGGCACACACTGGGGAGAGAGGGCACACACTGGGGAGAGCGGGCACACACTGCAGTAGAGGAGAGCGGGCACACACTGGGGAGAGCGGGCACACACTGGGGAGAGCGGGCACACACTGGGTAGAGCGGGCACACACTGGGGAGAGCGGGCGCACACTGGGGAGAGCGGGCACACACTGGGGAGAGCGGGCACACACTGCAGTAGAGGAGAGCGGGCACACACTGGGGAGAGCGGGCACACACTGGGGAGAGCGGGCACACACTGGGGAGAGCGGGCACACACTGGGGAGAGCGGGCACACACTGGGGAGAGCGGGCACACACTGAGGAGAGCGGGCACACACTGGGGAGAGCGGGCACACACTGGGGAGAGCGGGCACACTCTGGGGAGAGCGGGCACACACTGGGGAGAGCGGGCACACACTGCAGTAGAGGAGAGCGGGCACACACTGGGGAGAGCGGGCACACACTGGGGAGAGCGGGCACAGACTGAGGAGAGCGGGCACACACTGGGGAGAGCGGGCACAGACTGAGGAGAGCGGGCACACACTGGGGAGAGCGGGCACAGACTGAGGAGAGCGGGCACACACTGGGGAGAGCGGGCACACACTGGGGAGAGCGGGCACACACTGCAGTAGAGGAGAGCGGGCACAGACTGAGGAGAGCGGGCACAGACTGGGGAGAGCGGGCACACACTGGGGAGAGCGGGCACACACTGGGGAGAGCGGGCACACACTGGGGAGAGCGGGCACACACTAAGGAGAGCGGGCACACACTGGGGAGAGCGGGCACACACTGGGGAGAGCGGGCACACTCTGGGGAGAGCGGGCACACACTAGGGAGAGCGGGCACACACTGGGGAGAGCGGGCACACACTGGGGAGAGCGGGCACACACTGCAGTAGAGGAGAGCGGGCACACACTGGGGAGAGCGGGCACACACTGCAGTAGAGGAGAGCGGGCACACACTGCAGTAGAGTAGAGCGGGCACACACTGGGGAGAGCGGGCACACACTGCAGTAGAGTAGAGCGGGCACACACTGGGGAGAGCGGGCACACACTGGGGAGAGCGGGCACACTCTGGGGAGAGCGGGCACACACTGGGGAGAGCGGGCACACTCTGGGGAGAGCGGGCACACACTGGGGAGAGCGGGCACACACTGGGGAGAGCGGGCACACACTGGGGAGAGCGGGCACACACTGGGGAGAGCGGGCACACACTGGGGAGAGCGGGCACACACTGCAGTAGAGGAGAGCGGGCACACACTGGGGAGAGCGGGCACACACTGCAGTAGAGGAGAGCGGGCACACACTGGGGAGAGCGGGCACACACTGCAGTAGAGGAGAGCGGGCACACACTGCAGTAGAGTAGAGCGGGCACACACTGGGGAGAGCGGGCACACACTGGGGAGAGCGGGCACACTCTGGGGAGAGCGGGCACACACTGGGGAGAGCGGGCACACACTGGGGAGAGCGGGCACACACTGGGGAGAGCGGGCACACACTGGGGAGAGCGGGCACACACTGGGGAGAGCGGGCACACACTGCAGTAGAGGAGAGCGGGCACACACTGGGGAGAGCGGGCACACACTGCAGTAGAGGAGAGCGGGCACACACTGGGGAGAGCGGGCACACACTGCAGTAGAGGAGAGCGGGCACACACTGGGGAGAGCGGGCACACACTGGGGAGAGCGGGCACACACTGACGCGGGGCTAGTAGTCACACACTTGTTTTAAATACTTCCACACATAGCATGACCAAACTAGGTGTCATATCAACATTATATACAGACAAACAAGCACCAAAATTCAGAATATGACTAGATATGACTGAACATTTATTTATCCATAGCAAAAGTACATTTCTGACTTATGTTAATATTTCCATCTCGGTTTTTTGTGTTTATTTAAAATTAGACAAATCTGATATTATTTGAATCTCCAATCTGTAATTTAATAGTTGTTTAATGCTGATCTAACAGCAGAAACACTCGCCGGGTTTAAACCCCAGTCGCACAGGCGGGACATGTTGTCACACGGTTACAATGAGCCGCTATTAGAACTATGATATTCTATTATATACGTTTATGAATTCTATTGAGAAACAATGAGAAAAAGGTGAATAAAGATGTTCAGAAATTATTCATTATTATTATGTTCTGAAATATGCTGTATAGCTGTGTTTTACGGTGTGTTTGTTGTCAAACTAAAAAATGTGCTTATTTTTTAATTAGTAAAAAATGCCACTATCTTATATGAAAAAGTTAATAATAGTATTTTATTGAGAAAATATTTTAGTTTGTCTTGTATATTTAGTGATTAGATAACAGTAATCTGTCATATGGTGATGTTATAATGAGCTCCACTATGGGGCATGTTGTCACAGTTCACTTACAGTCTTTCAGGGGAAATCAAGAAAAAAGTAAAACACTGTATTAATGAAACAAAACCACAGAATTATACTAGACATGAGAAATGAATGTGGGGAAAAAGAAATACTCTGTTTTTAAAGTAAAGTGCGTACGGGTTGCAGTCGTGTGTTGTGTTGAATTAAAATTTAATTTAAAGGTGGGGTATGGGATTTGCAAAACGGCCGGCAGATTTTGAAAACACACAACTCAAAAGGTCCTGCCTTCTTTCCTCCGACGCTGGCCCTGACTCCACCCATCCGAGGAACATGGACGCGCAATCATGCACACACATGCACATGCACTCTCTCTCTCTCTCTCTCTCTCTCTCTCTCTCTCTCTCTCTCTGTACCGGGGCGACTTGCACTTCCTGTGACTGGGTCACGAGCTTTGAGTATGCGCACGCAGGGGACACGCGCTCGAGGGGGAGGGGTCATGGTACGACCGTTTGATTGACGCACTGACAGTCCAATGATTCTAGGTGGTCTTGGAAATGATTGGCCGGAGTTTTTCGAGTGCTGCCCGTTCCACAGATGATTAAATTTCTTAATTTTCATTTCAGTGCCTGTAAGTGGGCTAGGAATAGGATTTCAAGTGATTTTGAAAAAATGGTCAAAAAAGAAAATCACATACCCCACCTTTAATGAAACAAAACCACATAATTGTACTAGACATGTGTGAAATGAATGTGGGGACAAATAAATACTGTTATATATATATGGCTGTTTTTAAAGTAAAGTGCGTACGGGTTGCAGTCGTGTGTTGAATTAGAGAAGCTTAAATGTTTGTTGTTGTTGTTTCTCATTGAAAACCACAGACAGAGATTCAGAAACTGAGGCTTTACTGTGACCCACATCAGAGCGAGAGAGAGACAGCGTGTGAAATCTACTCTGTGGTAAGAACTAAGAAACTTAGATGTAGAATTGCATTAGTTTGATTGGTTGTGGGCCGGGAATTGGTCTTTTTAAAGGGTTAAATATAATTCGTGTCAGTAATTACTCTCCCTCATGTGGATCCACACCTCATCTCATCTCCGGGTCACACATGAAGATCTCGTTGATGGTTTGTTCTCGCGGTCACAGGTTCGGTTTGAGCTTCTGATGTTCTCCAATGTTTATCTGTGAATAAAAGCCTAGATTAAATCTGTTCGTCATATCAAGCAATCGTGTCTCTTCAGACATTTGGCCTAAACCGCTCCGTTCACATGGATCAGTTGTACACTGGTTATGAGCGCTGGAAGCCGCAGTAGTGGAGGGACACAACTCTAGGATTATATTAAAAATATCTCCATTTGTGTTCCGAATATGAACGAGTCTTACAGGTTTGGAACGACATGAGGGAGAGTAATCAATGACAGAATTAACATTTTTGGGTGAACTATGCCTTTAATATTATGAGTACTTCTGTCCAACAATTCCTTTATTAAAAAAAAATCTATATCAATATAAATATCTTAAATCGGCCAGATGTACTGCTTTTATTTTATTTTTATTTTATTTTTCATTTTAATATATATATATTTTTTTATCAGTAGGGATTTTTTATATTTTATCTTATTTTATTTAATTATTGTATTATTATTTCATTTTTTTTTTAAATTGATCAGCAAGTTATGCATGAAATTGTTAGTTATTTTGAATTTAAGTTGAATGAATGTGAGGAATGTGCTTAAATTAAAATTTGCATTATTATTTATTGTTCAAATCTAGTCATTTAAAAGTAAATAAAATAAAAAATAACACAAAATCTCCAAAAAATTTGCATTAAAAAAATAGATTTTTTTTTAAATCAAAATGAAATAAAATAAGCTTTCTGAAAAAAAAAAAAAGTCATTTTGACCCGCGAGGGAAGTGTTACACAGAGAGAAGGATGCAAACACTAAACTATTGCTCGGAAACACTGTTTATGACTCACTGTAAGCTAAGAGAACACTATTCCCACATACAGACTAACTTCCCTTTTTTCCCCCTTGTTTTACAGGACGATGAACGGGTAAGTGTGAACCATACACTCTCATGACTGGAGTGTGTGTGTGATGAGCTCGAGGTCTTGCTGGTATGAGTGTGTGTGTGTGTGTGTGGTGTCTGCAGAGGTCTTGCTTATGTGAGTGTGTGTGTGTGTGGTGTGTGTGGTGTCTGCAGAGGTCTTGCTGATCTGAGTGTGTGTGTGTGTGTGTGTGTGTGTGGTGTCTGCAGAGGTCTTGCTGATCTGAGTGTGTGTGTGTGTGTGTGGTGTGTGTGGTGTCTGCAGAGGTCTTGCTGATATGAGTGTGTGTGTGTGTGTGTGGTGTGTGTGGTGTCTGCAGAGGTCTTGCTGATATGTGTGTGTGTGTGTGTGTGTGTGTGGTGTCTGCAGAGGTCTTGCTGATATGTGTGTGTGTGTGTGTGTGTGTGTGGTGTCTGCAGTGGTCTTGCTGATATGAGTGTGTGTGTGTGTGGTGTGTGTGGTGTCTGCAGAGGTCTTGCTGATCTGAGTGTGTGTGTGTGTGTGTGTGTGGTGTCTGCAGAGGTCTTGCTGATCTGTGTGTGTGTGTGTGTGTGTGTGTGTGGTGTCTGCAGAGGTCTTGCTGATCTGAGTGTGTGTGTGTGTGTGTGTGGTGTATGCAGAGGTCTTGCTGATCTGAGTGTGTTTGTGTGTGTGTGTGTGGTGTCTGCAGAGGTCTTGCTGATCTGAGTGTGTGTGTGTGTGTGTGTGTGTGGTGTCTGCAGAGGTCTTGCTGATCTGAGTGTGTGTGTGTGTGTGTGTGTGTGTGTGTGTGGTGTCTGCAGAGGTCTTGCTGATCTGTGTGTGTGTGTGTGTGTGTGTGTGTGTGTGTGTGGTGTATGCAGAGGTCTTGCTGATCTGAGTGTGTTTGTGTGTGTGTGTGTGGTGTCTGCAGAGGTCTTGCTGATCTGAGTGTGTGTGTGTGTGTGTGTGTGTGTGTGTGGTGTATGCAGAGGTCTTGCTGATCTGAGTGTGTTTGTGTGTGTGTGTGTGGTGTCTGCAGAGGTCTTGCTGATCTGTGTGTGTGTGTGTGTGTGTGTGTGGTGTCTGCAGAGGTCTTGCTGATCTGAGTGTGTGTGTGTGTGTGTGTGTGTGTGTGTGGTGTCTGCAGAGGTCTTGCTGATCTGTGTGTGTGTGTGTGTGTGTGTGTGTGGTGTCTGCAGAGGTCTTGCTGATCTGAGTGTGTGTGTGTGTGTGTGTGTGTGTGTGTGGTGTCTGCAGTGTCCCCTGGATCGAGAGCCCAGCGCGGGGCCCGGGGACGAGTGCGACTGCAGCGATGGGCCTCCGGGACCGAGGGTCGACACACATCTCCTTCTCTCTCCTGTGTAAGTGCTCTCTCTCTCTTTAACTGGGTTATTCACAGTCTGATCTCCACAGGGTGTGCGGGGGGAGACGGGCAGAGACGGTCCCCCGGGCCCCGGCGGGAAACCTGTGAGTACACCACATACTGTATATCCACGCTTTCGGTTTCGGTCGAAGACTATCTGTGTGTTTTCTCAATAAAGGGACCTCAAGGTTCAAGAGGAGAGCCGGGAGAGCCAGGTGTGCCTGGAGAAAAGGTAAGAAGCTCTTACAGTGGCAGACCATTTACTGGAAAACAAACACACACACAAACAAACAAACAAACAAACACACAAACAAACAAACAAACCCAAAAATCATGCAGATTTTACAGAAAAAACTGAGAGGTTACCAGAATAATTCAGTAAAAATACAGTAAAAATGTAAACATATTTACAGAACAACCTGAAAATTGTACAATTTAAAAATGTAATTTACAACAACAAATGAATAAAAATAAAATAAAAAGACATTTTAAACCAGTAAATCAAAAAAAAAAAAAAATTCTGCTGCTATTAATCTGTTTTATGCCTTTATAATATACTGACATCCACCATTATAACACTGATGATAAAGAGAAAGACAAGATTAATTTAAAGTTCATCATAGCTTTTTTCTCAAGCTGATGTAAATATTAATATACAGAAGATGAAGACATGCACACAAACACAAAACACCGTCACCATAACACTAAAATAATGCAATAAACATTCATTCAACAACATAAGATGGAACGTAAAACCCTAATGAACATAATGGATCTGAAAAGAATTAAGAAGAAACGGTAACACTTTACAATTAGGTTCATTAGTTAACATTAGTTACTGTGTTACTGTAACATTAGTTGATGTATTAACTAACATGAACTAACCATGAGCAATACATTTATTACGGTATTTATTAATCTTTGTTAATAAAAATACAGCTGTTCATTGTTTGTTCATGTTAGTTCACAGTGCATTACCTAATGTTAACAAGACATTTTTAATAAAGTATTTGTAAATGTTGAAATTAACATTGACAAAGATTAATAAATGCTACATATACATATACATATGCTACATACATTATTATTTCATGCTAACTTAGTTAACTAATGTTAACCAACGAACCTTATTGTAAAGTGTTATCGAATAAACCATTCCAAATAAACAATTTTTCTGAACCGTCAGTTTGTGGATTTTCACTGTAAATTATAAGATGATTTGTTCTGTATAAGTTTTTTTTTAAGGCAAGTCTTTCACTGTCTTGCTATTTCTAAGGTATTAGTTATCACTTTTCAAAAAATGTTGCATTTAACAGTATTTTACTGTAAAATGACATGAAATGTAAGGTTAGATCTGTTGCAGTTTTTTAATATTTGTACAGTGTTTGTAAGCAGTCGTACAGTCTCTGATGAAGACGTGAGCGTTGTGTTTCCTCTGTCTCGTAGGGCGACGCCGGTGTATCGGGACCGAGAGGCGATCCGGGACGCCATGCGGCCAAAGTGAGTCTCCCATCGGAAAAACACACAAACACTCACACTCTCTCTCACACACACACACACACACACACACGCACGCACACACACACAGACAGATGCTTTTAGATGAACAGTGTTTAGCTGTAATCTGGTGAGCTTTGCGCTTATTGCAAATCATATTCGGTCTATTTCATATCCAGGGTGAGCGAGGAGAACGAGGGTTGCCAGGGGAACCGGGCCCGCCTGGACCAATGGTAAGAGCTCTCACTGACTGCACACTTCACTTCCTCAATGCTTTCCTCTATAAGCACACTCAAGCTGCGTCCCAAATCGCGTACTTGTGCACTATTCTATGCCACTTTGCAGTATAAATAGTGTGAGTAGTGCGTTTACACTGCAGATTCTAAAAAGAAAAAGTGCACTTTAAGTTCCCGGATGATGCACTTATTTAACCGAAAAAACAAAGTTTTTGGAACGTTGGACACTTCATGGACTCGACTGGCAAAGCTTTAATTATGGGCTATCAGACTCCGATGTTGAAAGACAAAATAAACGTATAAAGTTCATACACTACGCGGTTGAGTACAAAGTGTATAAGTGCATATGTGCATTAGTGATGGGGACGAGACCGCCTATGCCGAGTCCGAGTCAAGACCGAGTCTTTGAAGGGCCGAGTCCGAGTCGAGACCGAGTCCCTTGTTTTTCAAATACAGTCGAGTCCGAGTCAAGACCGAGTCTTTGAGGAAGCAAGTCTGAGTCGAGATTATGTCTCGACATGTCAGTTTTGATATTCATGATTTAATATCACCTAATGAACTGTTAGGCCTTTGCATTGCACCATGGGATGTCATTTTCAAATAATGCCCGTCAACATTGCATTATTATTATTATTGTTGTTATGTGCTGTTTTTTTATATGAACATAAAAAAAATGCGTTGAAAAAAAAAAAAACTCGAGGATTTGGTCTGAAATTACGAGTCCTTCTCCTCCCACTGTTGTCCGAGACCGAGTCAAGACCGCGTCTTTGAAGGGTCGAGTCCGAGACGAGTCCGAGAAAGCAGAAATCGGTCTTGAGACCGGACTCGAGTACTACATCACTAATGTGCATAAGTGCAAAGTGTATAAGTGCATGTGTGCATAGTGTATAAGTGCATAGTGCATAGTGCATAGTGTATAAGTGGATAGTGTATAAGTGCAAAGTGTACTGTATAAGTGCATAGTGTATAAGTGCATAGTACATAAGCGGATAGTGCATAGTGCATAGTGTATAAGTGCATAGTGTATAAGTGCATAGTGTCACTACATCACTAATGTGCATAAGTGCAAAGTGTATAAGTGCATATGTGCATAGTGTATAACTGCATAGTGCATAGTGTATAAGTGCATAGTGTATAAGTGCAGAGTGTACTGTATAAGTGCATAGTGTATAGGTGCATAGTACATAAGTGGATAGTGCATAGTGCATAGTGTATAAGTGCATAGTGTACTGTATAAGTGCATAGTGTATAAGTGCATAGTGCATAGTGTATAAGTGCATACTGTATAAGTGCATAGTGTACTGTATAAGTGCATAGTACATAAGTGGATAGTGCATAGTGCATAGCGTATAAGTGCATAGTGCATAAGTGCATAGTGTATAAGTGCATAGTGCATAGTGCATAGTGCATAGTGCATAAGTGCATAGTGTATAACTGCATAGTGTATAAGTGCATAGTGTATAAGTGCATAGTGCATAGTGTATAAGTGCATAGTGTACTGTATAAGTGCATAGTGTATAAGTGCATAGTACAAAAGTGGATAGTGCATAGTGTATAAGTGCATAGTGCATAAGTGCATAGTGTATAAGTGCATAGTGCATAAGTGCATAGTGTATAAGTGCATAGTGTATAAGTGCATAGTGTATTCGTGCATAGTGTATAAGTGCATAGTGTATAAGTGCATAGTGTATAAGTGCATAGTGTATACGTGCATAAGTGCATTGTGTATAAGTGCATAGTGTATAAGCGCTGTCCCACATGACACACTGAAGCGCTGTCATGTCGGACAGCGCTTCAGTGTGTGACGTGAGTGTGTGGACGGTGTTCGGCCCGGTAGAGAGCAGAGGGGGACAGTAACAGCACATGTACTTGAGTATTATTTTTTCTGTAAACTTTTTACTTTAACTTCACTACATTTGAAAGACAAATATCGTACTTTTCACTCCACCACACAGATGTGTAGTTCTTTAGTTGGGGTGTAGGAAATAAAAAAAAAAGAAGATGATTAATAAAATACTGAAATACCCAGCGAAGATCTACTTTTGTGTTTCAGGGAGCAACGAGACCAGTCATTGGTACAGGATTGCCAGGAGAAAAGGTACTATATTCTTTCAATAATAATAATCATATTATTTTTTCTATTGTAAAGGGCATAGATCATGGTCTTATTTCTTGTACTTGCTTTTATTTTTTGCTGATTTAAATAACATTGCATTACTTTCCTTTTCACTGGACTACAGTCATTTTTCTTTTCTTTTTCTGTGTTTCAAATATTTCCATTTAATACTGTAATATATTTTATTTAAAATTTAAATTTTTGAATACAGTATTACAATGTAATTACTATATACTACTGTAAAGAAATAAGCAGTTAAAAGGCCTTATTGGTAGATTGCATGCTGTCGTAAGCATGTGTGATATTTACAGTAGCCTCAGATGTTGACACTGTACACTACAGCAAATAGAGGACAATCAACACGTTATCAGTTTTCTGTCCAGATTTGAAACATTGATTCCATAATTCATTAAACTGAGTGACACTGAGAAAATGCCCTTCATACTTGGAGAACATGAAGCACAGCTGCACTTTATTTATTCATTTATTAAGATGGATTGTATTTATTTATTTACAATGCTACATATGACATGATCTATACATATATGTTTTGTTTGTTTTATTATTAATATAAAATATGCTTTGGCAACATTGTGACACACAGTCATGCTGATAGCTCATGTGTTGTTGTGTAACAGGGCGAGCAGGGGCAGAAAGGAGAACGAGGACCTCATGGAGAGCCTGGGCCAATGGTAACGTTGTGTAATGTTATATATGACTACATAAAATGCCTTTGCTCTCGCAATTATATAACGATTTCTGACCAGACAGATAAAATGCAGCGCAGCAATGATTAATTGTCCTATTCATTAATATGCAGACATCTTCTTGAAAATTGTTGCATTGAATACACACGTTTGTCCACATTCACAACACTACATGCACATCCAGATACCCAGTCAGAGTATTAATGTGAATGAGAGATATGCGGTTGATGAAGATCATGATGATATCTGTGTTCTTATATCTGTGGTCTTATATCTGTGGTCTTATATCTGTGGTCTTATGTCTGTGGTCTTATATCTGTGCTCTTATATCTGTGCTCTTATACCTGTGTTCTTATACCTGTGCTCTTATACCTGTGCTCTTATATCTGTGCTCTTATATCTGTGCTCTTATATCTGTGTTCTTATACCTGTGGCCTTATACCTGTGCTCTTATACCTGTGCTCTTATACCTATGCTCTTATACCTGTGCTCTTATACCTGTGTTCTTATACCTGTGCTCTTATACCTGTGCTCTTATATCTGGGCTCTTATATCTGTGCTCTTATATCTGTGTTCTTATACCTGTGCTCTTATATCTGTGCTCTTATATCTGTGCTCTTATATCTGTGCTCTTATATCTGTGCTCTTATACCTGTGCTCTTTTATCTGTGCTCTTATAGCTGTGTTCTATATCTGTGCTCTTATATCTTTGCTCTTATATCTGTGCTCTTATAGCTGTGTTCTATATCTGTGCTCTTATATCTGTGCTCTTATATCTGTGCTCTTATATATGTGCTCTTATATCTGTGCTCTTATATCTGTGCTTTTATATATGTGCTCTTATATATGTGCTCTTATACCTGTGCTCTTATACCTGTGCTCTTATACCTGTGCTCTTATATCTGTGCTCTTATACTTGTGCTCTTATATCTGTGCTCTTATACCTGTGTTCTTATATCTGTGCTCTTATATCTGTGTTCTTATACCTGTGCTCTTATACCTGTGCTCTTATATCTGTGCTCTTATATCTGTGTTCTTATACCTGTGCTCTTATATCTGTGCTCTTATATCTGTGCTCTTATACCTGTGCTCTTATACCTGTGCTCTTATATCTGTGTTCTTATACCTTTGCTCTTATACCTGTGCTCTTATACCTGTGCTCTTATATCTGTGCTCTTATACCTGTGCTCTTATATCTGTGCATATCTGTGCTCTTATACCTTTGCTCTTATACCTGTGCTCTTATACCTGTGCTCTTATATCTGTGCTCTTATACCTGTGCTCTTATACCTGTGCTCTTATATCTGTGCATATCTGTGCTCTTATATCTGTGCTCTTATACCTGTGCTCTTATACCTGTGCTCTTATATCTGTGCTCTTATATCTGTGTTCTTATATCTGTGCTCTTATACCTGTGCTCTTATATCTGTGCATATCTGTGCTCTTATATCTGTGCTCTTATACCTGTGCTCTTATACCTGTGCTCTTATATCTGTGCTCTTATATCTGTGTTCTTATATCTGTGCTCTTATACCTGTGCTCTTACATCTGTGCATGTCTGTGCTCTTATATCTGTGTTCTTATATCTGTGCTCTTATACCTGTGCTCTTATATCTGTGCTCTTATATCTGTGCATATCTGTGCTCTTATATCTGTGCTCTTTATCTGTGCTGTTATATCCGTGCTCTTACATCTGTGCTCTTATATCTGTGCTCTTATACCTGTGCTCTTATATCTGTGCATATCTGTGCTCTTATAGCTGTGCTCTTATATCTCTGCTCTTATATCTGTGCTCTTATACCTGTGCTCTTATATCTGTGCTCTTAAACCTGTGCTCTTATACCTGTGCTCTTATACCTGTGCTCTTATATCTGTGTTCTTATATCTGTGCTCTTATATCTGTGCTCTTATATTTGTGCATATCTGTGCCCTTATATCTGTGCTCTTATACCTGTGCTCTTATATCTGTGCTCTTATATCTGTGCTCTTACATCTGTGCTCTTATACCTGTGCTCTTATATCTGTGCTCTTATACCTGTGCTCTTATATATGTGTTCTTATATCTGTGCTCTTATATCTGTGTTCTTATATCTGTGCTCTTATATCTGTGCTCTTATATCTGTGTTCTTACATCTGTGCTCATATCTGTGCTCTTATATATGTGCTCATATCTGTGCTCCTATATCTGTGTTCGTAAATCTGTGCTCTTATACCTGTGCTCTTATATCAGTGCTCTTATTTCTGTGTTCTTATATCTGTGCTCTTATATCTGTGTTCTTATATCTGTGCTCTTATATATGTGTTCTTCAGGGTGAACCAGGACTCTCTGGGAGCCTCGGACCTGCCGGTTCTGCTGGGTCAAAGGTCAGACAACATTCAAACCATTTTCATTGTCACAAGTGTTACATAACAGTAACTTCACAGCGAGCCGTGTGCTGTTCTCCTCACGAGACAATGTGTGTGTGTGTGTGTGTGTGTGTGTGTGCGTGCATGTGCTGTTCTCCTCACGAGACACTGTGTGTGTGTGTGTGTGTGTGTGCACTGTTCTCCTCACGAGACTCCATGTAACTCATTACAAATAACTTGAGTTACGTAATCAGATTACTTTTTCAAGTAACTAGGAAAGTAACGCATTACTGTTTCATTTTGCAGCAAAATATCAAAGTTACGTTTTTAAATAAATAACGCTAGTCATTTTTTCACATGTATTGATTGACAGCTCTCCTGTCCTCATGTTGAGAGAAATAAAGTGAGGTGTTGTGTGTGTGTGTGTGTGTGTGTGTGTGCGTGAGAGTGAGTGTGTGCGTGAGTGAGTGAGTGTGTGTGTGCGTGAGTGTGTGTGTGTGAGAGAGTGAGTGTGTGTGCTTGAGTGTGTCTGTGAGCAGTGTTGGGCAGTAACGCGTTACTAGTAACGCGTTACTGTAACGCAGTTACTTTTGACAGTAACTAATACTGTAACGCATTACTTTTTAAATAAAGTAACTCCGTTATCGTTACCGTATGGTGCGTTGTCCGTTACTTTTTTAAATTAATTAGTTGCTGGAGCGGCTGAGAAGTGTGCGCTGTTACACAGTACGAGATCACTGAAGAGACTGCTAGCATTATACAGAGCGAGAGGACACATAAACTCACTGGCTGAGTTGTTTACGTTAACACGTAAGGCCGCGCGAGCACGGAGATTACAAGCTGCACGGAGAGCGCTGAGCACTTCAGATGCGCATTTAAAACACAGACAGCGAAACGGTATGAATACAGAACACTAAAGTACACATTGCCATATCATTATAAAGTAATATTTTGTCTAGATGCTGCATCAACAGAGAAAGAACAGAAGCTTGCCGTCGAGTCTGAGAGGAATAACATTAGTAACGGCTAACTTACCTCAAGCGATTAAAGCAATGTGACCAAAACACACGCAGACCTGACCCAGATGTTTTATGTCGCAATTGTTACCATCTATTTGCATTAGTTTATATCCAGCTGGTCACTGTTATGCATTCATTAGCCGGCGAAGTTGTATTTTTAAAGCTGACGTGATTGCAATGCTTACATTGATATGTTCATGCAGCGACATCAAGTTTCCTAATCAAGTGTTCTAAAATTTAAGCAAATAAAGTGAAAGACTATACATGTAATATATAGGTCTACATTTATGTAATTTTAATGCTCTGGCCTTTGCAGATATTTAAATATGGCCATCTTCTATAAGCTTGAATCATATAAAATGGTAACACTTTACAATGAGATTACAATTTTAGCATTAAATATGGTTAATAAATGTTGTAGAAGTATCATTCATTGTTAGTTTTTTAATTTCAACATTTACTTAATACATTTGAAATTGAGTTTAAATTGTTATTGTATCTGTTATTACCTTAGTTAATTAGCCTACTATGAACTAACAAGAATGATCAAGGTACAATTGTATTGCTCAAATATTCATTCATGCAGTAAAAACGTATTACTGTCAGCTGAACATATCAATGTTGAGAAAGCAAACACATCACTAGCTTTACACATGCTTGTTTTGTTATTTATTTCAGAAATCCTTGTGATATATTCAGTTTGTGCTGGTCTGACTTAAATAAAATAGTGTTTAAAAATTACTTTCTGTTTAAGTCAGTTTTGTGTTTGTATAGACCATAACGCATAAAAGGGCATTAATGGGAACATTAAAGAACTTTCTTTAAAAAAGTAACTAAAAAGTTACTTTTCACAGTAACGCATTACTTTTTGGTGCAAGTAATCAACAAAGTAATTGAGTTACTTTTTGAATGAAGTAACTAGTAACTGTAACTAGTTACTATTTCTTAGTAACTAGCACAACACTGTCTGTGAGTGAGTGAGTGAGTGTGTGCGTGAGTGAGTGAGTGAGTGTGTGTGTGTGAGAGAGTGAGTGAGTGAGTGTGTGTGTGTGAGAGAGTGAGTGAGTGAGTGAGTGTGTGTGTGTGTGTGCGTGAGTGTGTGCGTGTGAGAGAGTGAGTGTGTGTGCTTGAGTGTGTCTGTGAGTGAGTGAGTGAGTGTGTGTGTGCGTGAGAGTCAGCTCACTTGCACAAAAACATTCAGTATTCTTCAAAATTAATAAAAACAGTAAAATGCAATCTCAGAATTTTACACAAATAACTTGTATAATTAACTATATTAAAATACACAAATATGCTTTATGTATTTAATCTCACTTTATTAACCCATGTCTCTGCTGCTGACGTTCAATGATCTAATCCAACCAGACTAATAAGCAAAGATTCCTTTTAGATTTAAGATTAGATAAATTAGCTATATAATTAGCTATTTAGATTAGATTTAGAAATAAGAGTGTTGAACTTCTTCCCCTGTATGCTATTGTTCTTTTATCTATAATGGGAAAGGTTTGTTTGAGGATTATTCACTTCACTTTCAGTGTGAAAGGGCCGTAACATTTGCCAAAAATAGATTTTTATTGTTGTTATAAAAAAAAAAAAATCACATGACAAACAGGGAATCACATGACAGACAAGAACAAGGAACAAGACACAAAACCTACACCATGACACCAGGTGGAAAAAGTAACGCAAAAGTAATGTAACGCAGTTAGTAATGTAAAGTAACGTAACGCAGTTAGTAATGTAAAGTAATGAAACACAGTTAGTAATGTAAAGTAATGTAATGCAGTTAGTAATGTAAAGTAATGAAACACAGTTAGTAATGTAAAGTAACGTAACGCAGTTAGTAATGTAAAGTAATGTAATGCAGTTAGTAATGTAAAGTAATGTAACGCAGTTAGTAATGTAAAGTAATGTAATGCAGTTAGTAATGTAAATTAATGAAAAACAGCTAGTAATGTAAAGTAATGTAACGCAGTTAGTAATGTAAAGTAATGTAACGCAGTTAGTAATGTAAAGTAATGTAACGCAGTTAGTAATGTAAAGTAATGTAACGCAGTTAGTAATGTAAAGTAATGTAACGCAGTTAGTAATGTAAAGTAATGTAATGCAGTTAGTAATGTAAAGTAATGTAATGCAGTTAGTAATGTAAAGTAATGAAACGCAGTTAGTAATGTAAAGTAATGTAACGCAGTTAGTAATGTAAAGTAACGTAACGCAGTTAGTAATGTAAAGTAATGTAATGCAGTTAGTAATGTAAAGTAATGAAACGCAGTTAGTAATGTAAAGTAATGTAATGCAGTTAGTAATGTAAAGTAATGTAACGCAGTTAGTAATGTAAAGTAATGTAACGCAGTTAGTAATGTAAAGTAATGTAACGCAGTTAGTAATGTAAAGTAACGTAACGCAGTTAGTAATGTAAAGTAATGAAACACAGTTAGTAATGTAAAGTAATGTAATGCAGTTAGTAATGTAAAGTAATGAAACACAGTTAGTAATGTAAAGTAACGTAACGCAGTTAGTAATGTAAAGTAATGTAATGCAGTTAGTAATGTAAAGTAATGTAACGCAGTTAGTAATGTAAAGTAATGTAATGCAGTTAGTAATGTAAATTAATGAAAAACAGCTAGTAATGTAAAGTAATGTAACGCAGTTAGTAATGTAAAGTAATGTAACGCAGTTAGTAATGTAAAGTAATGTAACGCAGTTAGTAATGTAAAGTAATGTAACGCAGTTAGTAATGTAAAGTAATGTAACGCAGTTAGTAATGTAAAGTAATGTAACGCAGTTAGTAATGTAAAGTAATGTAATGCAGTTAGTAATGTAAAGTAATGTAACGCAATTAGTAATGTAAAGTAATGTAACGCAGTTAGTAATGTAAAGTAATGTAATGCAGTTAGTAATGTAAAGTAATGTAACGTGGTTAGTAATGTAAAGTAATGTAACGCAGTTAGTAATGTAAAGTAATGTAACGCAGTTAGTAATGTAAAGTAATGTAACGCAGTTAGTAATGTAAAGTAACGTAACGCAGTTAGTAATGTAAAGTAATGTAACGCAGTTAGTAATGTAAAGTAACGTAACGCAGTTAGTAATGTAAAGTAATTTGACGCAGTTAGTAATGTAAAGTAATGTAACGCAGTTAGTAATGTAAAGTAATGTAACGCAGTTAGTAATGTAAAGTAATGACACACAGTTAGTAATGTAAAGTAATGCAACGCAGTTAGTAATGTAAAGTAATGTAACGCAATTAGTATTGTAAAGTAATGTAATGCAGTTAGTAATGTAAAGTAATGTAATGCAGTTAGTAATGTAAAGTAATGTAACGCAGTTAGTAATGTAAAGTAATGTAACGCAGTTAGTAATGTAAAGTAATGTAACGCAGTTAGTAATGTAAAGTAATGTAACGCAGTTAGTAATGTAAAGTAATGTAACGCAGTTAGTAATGTAAAGTAACGTAACGCAGTTAGTAATGTAAAGTAATGTAACGCAGTTAGTAATGTAAAGTAATGTAACGCAGTTAGTAATGTAAAGTAACGTAACGCAGTTAGTAATGTAAAGCAATGTGACGCAGTTAGTAATGTAAAGTAATGTAACGCAGTTAGTAATGTAAAGTAATGTAACGCAGTTAGTAATGTAAAGTAATGTAACGCAGTTAGTAATGTAAAGTAACGTAACGCAGTTAGTAATGTAAAGCAATGTGACGCAGTTAGTAATGTAAAGTAACGTAACGCAGTTAGTAATGTAAAGCAATGTGACGCAGTTAGTAATGTAATGTAATGTAACGCAGTTAGTAATGTAAAGTAATGTAATGCAGTTAGCAGTGTTGTGTGTAACGCGTTACAAAGTAACGCGTTACAGTAACGTAACTACTTTTTCGGGTAAAAAGTAGTGTAACGCGTTACTACTGAAAATTTGGTAACGAAACGTAGTTCCTTTTTCAATTTCGCACAACGTTACTTTTCCCATGGACAGATTTGACAGCAACACTGTCTCCTCAGCTGC